GAGGTACTTGAAATGGCAATGCTTCACATGCTTCCTTGCAACTACAGTGACGACTCCAATTTGACACTGGATTCAGCAGAGCAACTAGGCATTTGTTGTACTTTGGATATCTGCATAATCTCCATTCACTGAGCCAACTTTCACCACATATCTGAGAACTTGGCGAATGAGGCTCTTGCTTAGCAATAGCTCTTCAGGTGAGAAGCAGAAGAGTCCCTTCCTTGCCTTATTACTCATCTAGACGGGATAGAAACACCATCTGTCCCTTACGGCCAACACCGGGTCCCACCAAAACCAATGGGAGTTTTCCTGTTGACCACCAGTGAACGTTTTGGGTCTACTTTTTTCATTACAAAGCCTCATGGGACACTGGCTTCCCACTGTAAAATTTTCCAGTGGGTTTGGGACAATTACTAAGCAGATCATGAGTTTCTCAGGGGTCTCCCCAGGTCTTTGAAAAGAACCGAGCATAGGGTGCTGAAGTTATAGGAGTAGCAACACGCCCACGTTACGGTGTTTAAAATAATCTCAGCTGATAAAAGCAGGGTGTGTGGACAGAGATGCACTTGCAGCATTGTAATGAGGGCACATAAAGGGTTTGCTAATAGGATGTGTACAAGCCTTGCATCCACAGCTCTGTTATAGATTCATTACTATGCAGGCTCATGTTTGGAGTCTGAGCAGTAGGGAAACTGGTTGGAAGGTGTAGGCTGGAGCTGCATTGTCTCATTATGCCACATGCTTCCTCACTTGGAAAAATCATCTGTGACAAGCCACTTTCCTGGGTGCAGAGCTCAAAAGACGCCAAGAGGCTTGGGGCTCGATGAAAGGTATTTGATGTCAATAGCATTTGACATATGCAGGTTTGATATGTTCCCGGCTTCTAAGTGATGCCAAAAATGCAGCTTATGAGAATAATATAAAGAAAGAGGACACAGATCTAAACTCCTTCAGAAAATTGCTCTTAGTTGTCACAAGGTGACCTTCATCCCTACAGAGGCAGCTTGCTGGTTCAAGCGCAAAATGCAGATCTCTCCCATCTCGTAGGGGTATGCAAAGTGTATGTGATGCTACAGAGAGAAAATAATGATGACCCTGTGCATGCTGTTCAGGTAGCTGGTATAGTAGCCTTTGTTTGTGCTTCGATGGAATTGTACTCAGATTTTTCAACTAATTACTGCCTGCAATGGTTAGCATAACCCTTCAGCAACCACATATGAAGCAGTCAGAAGGGGTGCTGAAAAAATACATTTCCAAAGGAAAAAGCATCCACTTCCATGTTGTCCTACAGGGCATGCGGCAGGGGAAACGCATGCAAATAATGTGCTGCTAAGTAACATTCCTGTTCATTTTCATTAGCAGGATGTATAACAAGTGATATTCCAGATTTGCAAAAGGATGTAGGCAGAATTTAGGAGCCTTCAGCTGTGATCCTGTCGGATCCCAGCTCAGCTGCTGTCTAACCCCAGAGCTGTCAAAACTCCAAAAGAAGCCTTGTTTTTTGGCTTTAAAGTATCCCAGGTGCCCAGAGTTGTATCTCCCTGTGATGTCCAGCACTGCCCCAGGCTGGACAACCCAGGCTAGTTCATGCCTGGTGAAGCTTGATAGGCATTAGGAAAGCATTTGCTCCGTTGTCCCTTGAGGGGCCTGAGCTGGGCGGTGCACTCAGAATAATACATGCTGACCAGACTTCAGTCCTTTTGAGCTGCAGCTGCAAGTACCACTTTCTTTAAAACACACCCAGCGGGGCTGGGGTGGCATCTTCCTTTCACATCATAGCCCAGCCATGGGATCACTTGGGGATTCAAACCCAGATCTCGACCACAGGGCCTTAACCAGCAGGCCATGGAGGACTGCAAGCAGGGCACTCTCTCTGTCCAGTGCAGAAATGAGATTGCACAAGGGACCATGGCTCTGTGGTGTAATGGTCTGGATACATACCGAAGTTCTGGGTAGTTATATATACCCTCTGTGTATGCTGTATGGGGAGACTAAGCACTTACCAGAGGGATAGTCCATGTCAGAGGCTGCTATCTCAACGTTAGACCATGCCTCACAGCCACTGTCTTTTCTGTCTCTCCATCCTTTATTAGATGCAGTCCTAGGAGACCACATTTGTGAATTCGTATTGACAACAGGGACGTGCAAGCAAACAATACATCTCTCCCATCTCAGCCCTGAGTTCCCCCTTCAAAGGTTTTCATTTACTATGATTAAACAAGCCCTGGATTGAGCCATTAATTGATTACAATTAAATTAGAGGCAAGGCAGGACATTAATAATACGAAAATCCTCTTTGCCTATGTCTAGATTTTCCCGGACTGCAAACCCTGCTCTTCCTTCAGGCAATTATGCAAAGACAAATAGCAACATTTACACCAAGGACCTCACTCTCCATTACTCAGTGGTGACCCACGGGTTCTTGATTTTCCATCTAGAGGGTGTTTTACAAGGCTGGGCAGAGGCCTGCACTGCAAATAGCATGAAGGGAATTTGGTGGGATTTGGGGATGCAAGGAAACACAGGGGAATTATGGCCAAAGTAATTTCCTTTGGTTTATATTCTAATTGCAAACACCTGCTCCATAGCCGTCAGGGGCATCAGATGGGATCAAACGGTGATGGTCGGTGCCTACCTCAGCCCTGATTGGAGACCCCTTGGAGCCAAAGGAAAGTCGAGGGTGAGCTGAGTGGAGGGTGAGATTTCCAAAAGCAGTGTCCACAGTACAAGGTCCTGCAGAGCGGCTGGACGTAAGGCAGACAGGCCATTGCTATTCACCTCCTCCCTCCTGCCACGGGAGTATCTAACAGTCGTTCCTAGTAGATCTCACTTGGATCCCATCACAAACAACCTTCACCCACCGCTGCGCGCTGGCTTTTTTCGAGGCACGCTCAGCTTAGGCACCAGCGACAGAACAAATGAGAACACCCTTACAACCCAGGAGTAAGAGCGGATGATGTGAGGGCTTGATTCAGAGACAATATGAGCTTCACCTCTTGACAGAGGTAAACGAATGGTCATAATATCCAAAGCAAACCCACACAAAAGCCTGTTGCCTGGCTATTTCCATGATATTTTGCTGGGAGCTGAAAAACTGCTTTTCACCCTGAATCCCCAAATGTAGAAATAAACAGGAAAAAACAAGCTTCTTTTTTACTGCTTCATTTTACTCGGTGTCAAAGCGGCACAGTGCCACAGGTCTGGAATATTAATAATGCTCTATCCAGGCTGATGAATGTTTCAGAGCCCCTTAGCCCCTCATCAACATGTGTGTCAAATACAATGAGGTGAGAGGAAACAGGCTGGCAGGTTTGCTGTGGAGTGCAGGGAATATTTTTGTACGTGAGGCCCTGCTGTCAGATGTCCAAGAGTGACTTACCCAACACACCAGGTGAGGTTGGTTGCCGGCGCTTATCCGCAGTCCTGTGCGCTGCACACCACGAGACCAAATCCTGCAGCCACGGCACAGATTTCATGGGGGCAACTCCGAAATCCTGTGGCAAAATCGACTGCTTCTGTCCCTGTGAGATGGCTTTCACTCGCCTGCCCCCCAGCCAAATGGGGTCAGCCCCATACGAATGCGTGAGATGGAAGATTGAAGGGTTAATTAGTATTTCCTGCTTTAATTGCTCTCTCTCAAAGTAAACATTGCAAGATGCGGAGGAGTCTAAAGGAGAGACCAAGCCAACTGATTGCTTTTTATAACCCACATCCTTCAGAAAGAGTCAGGCAGGGTAGCCACAGCATTTAGTATGAGCCTGGACAGTGTTTCTTCTCATTAAAAACTCATAAAGCCAGCAGCTGCATCAGGGACGGGGAGATTGGGATGGGCTTTCCAAATCATTCTTAGGGACTGCACGTCCCCACCACCTCAGCAAAGGGGTTACCAGTAGCTTGTACTGGTTCAGCAAACGGTGCTTTTGGTATGTAGGCTGACTTCCAATGCCGGTTCAAACAAGACCAGGGGAATGAAGACCTACAGGTCCGACTGGCTTGCAGCCATGGCAAACTCTCTCTTCCAAGAAGCACAGTCAGCAAAGGGTGCCCATGCCTAGGACTGCATAGGAAGAAGGAAGAAAGGACCTTTCGTGATGGCCATCTCTGTGCAAACTGGGAAGAACAGTGAGTTACTGCAGGAAGAGTTAAGATAAAGGCAGTCAGGGTGACCAGAGAAGAAAGCAGGCTGCATCTTATCACTGGTTTGTTCCTAATTCCACAAAAAAGAATAACAAAGGGAAAAACACCCTCTATGAACCAAAAAACCCCTAAACTTTAAGCACAAACTGGACACAGTTCCTACAATGGCATTCACAGACACATCTCCCTGAAGATTATGGCCTGCTCGAAGTGCTACGCAGCCGGTATTATGGGAGCACCTAGCACACAGTCTACTGGAGTACTTGACACAGGAGGCAATGCCGATGTGGTGCACAGCAGCAGCTCTGGTGCACGGAGTCAGCTTTGATAAGGTCTCTGTGCACACCGGAGACATGAGGCTTGCCAACCTGAGTCTTGAAAGCGCCTTCTGGTGTATGTGAGCAATTAGCAGTTGAGAGAGAGAGCGTTTCCCCCTTCCTGCAGCACAGGTGAGGGGAAACGGGAGACGATTCTGTAGCTCACCCACCCCTGGCTACAAGAAGAGCCTAGGAGAGGTATCGGTACCTCATCTTCAGGACAGCATGCTGGTTCCCTGGGCCCAGCAGAGAGACAGGAAACACATTTTCCACCACCTCGTTTTGCCGCAAGTCAAGTTCAATCAGAGCTGAAGCGCTGCATAAGCCAGTACAGCAAGCTCAGCAGGGGAGACACAAAGAGCTTGTGCCTAGCTTACACTCCTCTACTATGAAGTAGAAGAGTCATCCTGAGTTAACAGAAAGAGATTAAGGGCAGATGCTTGTCTACCAAACTACGTCACCTGAAAAATAATTTGCCATTTGTATTTTATAACAGGACGGGAGAGAACACAATCTGGCTTTACGTACCTCCATAATTACCGCGTTGCATTTCAGACGACGAGCTAGAGTCTAGGAGCGCACAGAGCGCACGTTGTGTGCGCCACAACATGTGGTGGAGACCCCCAGTGCGCTCTCTCACAAGAAAGCACTCCAATGTTATACAGTAATGGTCCAAAATTCAACAACTCGACTTCTCACCTCTTTCAGATGGGTGCAATTCCCATCGACAAACTCTCTCTTTCAGCCTTTCCTGCATTTTTTTAATGAAGTAGCATCCAACCATGACCTGGGCCCCTTCGTGCCACACATTATGCACACACAGAGAAAGACAGAATCCCTTTCTCAGAGGGCCTATGGTTTAGCAGAAGACAGACATCTTTAGGGCCACCCCATTTTCAGACAAGTGTCAGCACCTGCCCTTTGAACATCAGGTTACTTTAAGATGTCTCAAGTTGGGCACCCAAGTGGCAAGGCACCTAAAGTAGTCACTAATGAAAATGTAGGGCATGACCCACGTCAGGAAGGCATCTGCTGGCAGAACCACGAAAACAGCCCCAACAGCAACAAAACCATCCTGCCCATCTGCTACAACGCTCTACTTCATACGTCCCGTTGTTACAAGCACTGGGTTTTCTATACTTCTTGCTTAAACACTCTTCAAACGAATATTTAGGACACTGCACATCAGTAAAGAGAGTAGGCTTGTGCTTTTGTTTCTAAGTTAGAAACTTTCTTAGAAGTTCACGTGAAACAGCGACCAAATGTGTTTTCCAAAGAACAATAACTTTTTTCAGCAAGCCTTTGTTAGTATTCAGTTTAAGCACAAATAAAATATACGGCTGTTTCAAAGTTGGTTTCCTATTTGAAGCATGCCTTGTAGAACAATGTTTCTTCCCCCTTGTAATTCTAGGTCCACGCCACCGGTTTTATTTACCAGCCCTTGTGAACAATGAGCTATCCATCCATGTCATGAATATTATGTCAAATTTATTACAGCAGCTTTTCAGCATATTTCCAGTCAAGGCCTCATTCTTCTTACAGATTCTGCAAATGAACAACAGTTTTAGTTACAAATGTTTCCCAGTGAGCCAGCACTCCCGACAATAGAATTGAACTTCCTGTATTTCTTGCAAAATTCTGATGCCAATATAACCAATCATTATGACACATTGCTGAGAAACGCCATTTTGCTCTGTCGTTGATATATTCTCAGTCTGAAGTGAGCAGGAATTATATTGAGAGCCATTCAACCCTTGATTAGTACTTGAGTAGATCAAGTATATATCTTCATATCCCATTAGGGATGGGAGAACCCAAAGAATTACCAGTAAGCTTCCCATAACTAAAACCAGGACCTCAGGAGAATTTTACCCACAGAATTAATGACAGATATATGGAATAATTCAGTTTACGGACATAGGTCGTTATAGAATACTGTAAAACATTATCCACAAATGCTTGCTTGCAATAATTAAATGAATATGCTTAGATTGTGTGCACCCCTGGTTTAGCTGGGAATAATTGTGAATTCTGCTGGTCTCCACTCCAGCAAAGCAATGAACACGTGTTCACTTTAAATATGCAATGAGCTGCACTGACCTCAGTGGGATGACTCGTGCTTAAACAGGTTATAGTCAGCTGATGGAAATGTTGTAGTATTCTGTCCTGCACCCTATACAGTCAGCACGGTCTAGTTGAATACCTGCCAAATGCAAGTGAGCTTGGGCTCACAAATGCCCCAGTGAGGGTTTATTTTCCCAATGGGAACCTTAGGCACAGAGACAGAAAATCTCCTACTCCCACAAACTCTGAGCTCAAAGTAAGTGAGTAGTATCCTTCGTTTGGGTGTAGAAATGATCAGTGAATGGAATCTCTCTCTCATGGGATATTCCTATATTTTAAAATTTATTTTCATTCCACATCAGAAGGCTAAACTGAAATTTCAAACCTTCAAAAAATGTTTTGATTTGGGACTATCAAAGCATTTCGTTCTAAGAGTAATGAATACTTTCGATTTGATGAAGTGAAGATATCCAGAACATTAAATATTAACTATAGAATCACTAAAAATGAGGGTTTGGAAGGGACTCAGGAGGTCACATCTAGTCCAACCCCCTGCTCAAAGCAGGACCAGCCCCAGCTACATCATCCCAGCCAAGGCTTTGTCTAGTTGAGTCTTAAAAACCCCCAAGGCTATAGATTACATACAAAACATTAAACAACATATAAATAACAAAACATTAAATACCACATGTATTCTCTATTCTATTAAGGCATGGGTAAACCTGAATCGGCTGCGATCAGGCTATGGAGCCTTCAATAAAATCAAACATAAAATGGGCCTTACAAACTCACCATCGTGGTCCTGTGGCAAAGGAGATCAGACAGCCCAGCATATGCTGACTGTCCTCTATATGGTCCATCAGAGGGGGCAAACAGTCTGAAAGACTGCAGTTATATTGATGGATCTACTCTTAAATGGTTGGAGGAGTCGACTTTCTGAGGTCATCTGCAAGAAAAGGAAGAACTAACAGTGGTACCTGTTAGCAAAATAATAAATGCTATTACTAAGAACGAGGCCCAGCTGTCATAGAAAGTTTCCTACAAAGCGCTTGAAAAAAGGAGCATCAGCTAAATAAAATGAACCTATTCTCTGGCCTCACAGTAACATGGGTGACAAAATCTTAGATTAGGATTTACATTTCAGCTAAGGATCTCAAGGCCCTTTAAAATGAATAAATATAAGTTTAGGCAATGGCTGTAACTTTCCTAATGGGGCCACTGTAGCACATGAACAGGTGCATTCAGATAGCAGGCAAAGCACTTCATGTTCACAAATGCCCTCTTCCATTTTGTTTAAGGCTAAATTACAGTTTAAGGCTTTCTTTACCTTTACAAACCATACAGTCTGTACAAAGAATACCAATGGCAGAATTTCTATTGGCAAAGGTGCACTGCAGATCGAAATGCTTCATAACATTAGTATATATTACATGCTCTGCTACTATAATAATCTGCTCCGAAAGAGTGCTTTCTCCTGAAAAGCCCGGGCGCATTGCACATCACTATCATACACAGAGTGATTTAGTCTGATTAGTCAGAAATGGACCAAGGAAAATACATTTTGGAGTTTTGAGGCGAACCATTGGTTGCTCTGGGAAAACTTGCAAGTGTGAAAATACTGGGCAGTAAATAACTATTTCACTTAACCTGCCTGCCCTTCTTGGCAGTTGACAAGGAACATCAAATGTTCAACAAACCGAAAGTATTTCAGGCATCCAAAATCTTCAAAGAAATAGGTACAGCCAGGGAAAACATTTTAAACTCATGGGCAAACCCAACTGAACAACAGCATTTATTCACAAAGTAATAAATGCTACTGCTACGACCAGCTCCTATATATTGCTTCTCGCACAAAGGGATTCAGTGTCATTACCCCAACCATGGTCAAAGGCAAGAAGAGAATCCAAGTTTTTCTACATCCCATCAACTCTCTCTCAGCCCCACTTACCATCCTCAACACCTTCAATTGAACATCTCCTACTTTTCTTCGATATATGAGGTTTCATTTTTCCAAGGTGCTAAGAAAAAGAGAAAAATGTCCATCAAAACCAACCACATCCTAAAGGAAAACAATGGTTTGGCCACAGGGAAGTTTTTTTTTTTTAATTTGAATCAACAGTTTGAAACGAAGTAAAAATATGTTTCAGGTTCAAGCGTCATTTCATTACTTATTTTTCTTAAAGGCGCAGAAACAAGAAGTTAATCCAAAACAATCAATTTGAAATGAAACTGTTTCTTTTGTCTAAGTTCAAAACTTCCCAGGTGAAAACCAGGTATTTAGGTCCACAATATTTCCAACAAAGATTTTCTTTGACATTTCTTAATTAATTTTCCAATCAGCTCTAGGGAAGGATACATATCTTTCCCTTTTCAGTTTCTCCGGGTGCATTGGTCTGTTCTTTATGGGATGTTGGAAAGCTTTGTCATTGTGAGAGCTTTATTATCTTCTTCATTTTTTTGTTCAAATTTATAAATGAAGCAAAGACCTCTTGGCTTTGATGTTCTATGAATCAATGACTAAATAAATAGCTATCAACCTCTCATTTTTTCACTCAGCATTAGAGTTAGAAACAATTCCAGTGTCAGGAACATTTCATTTATAAATGTGAACTAAAAAAAAATGGACCGTCTATGAGCAGTGTACAAGGAGGCTCTTAACGGTCTGCAACCAGCAGCTGTCTCGCAGATTTCTTTTTTATGTGTCTAAGCAAATGTGTATATTTTTAATCTAGCTTCCAAGTCTGGGCAGCATTACCCAGAGGTATGAGAGATGCCAGGAAGCCTGCCCAAGAAAAATGGATGAAAAATGTAACCTAATTTGTAATTTGGACTATCAATATTCATCAGCGTTATTTAACATATGGTTACGGGACAGGGTTCGCCTCTCGGCAGCTACAGTAGATATTACGGTTGGATTGAGTGCCCCTGAGCCACGCAGACGAGGTGGACTGATATAATAACATAGCTCTACCAACAATCCAAATCCAACGGCAAAGGACAGGAAAGCACTACAAAGCACCTACCATTCACATTACTCGCTCAATCCTGTACCCCATTTATTTCGCAGTTTCTACTTTTCATAAGTTAATTATGTTACTTCACCCTCATTAACATTTGCAGCAATTACTTGTGGGTTATTTTTGCAATACTTAATTCCTTTACGCCCCGAAGGCTACCGAAAATACGCAGAACTTGCCTCTGTGGTCTCTCGCTCGACACAAGTCAACTGACTTAGTGAGCTTCGAAATTGCCTATTCCTTACTCCGGTGGTCTTGAAACTTGAGGTCGCTTGCCTCTTTTCTACCTCTGTCAAGGGTCTGTTTAGGCTTACGGCTTTAACTTGTGCCAAGCCTACAGACTACAGGTCCCCAAGTCCTGTTATTTTCCCTGCATGCATTACAGCAAAGCACAAGTTATTAACACTTCACATTTTTACCCAAAGGCTACACAAGGAATCTTCGCTTTCCAATTTCACTCAGGACCGAAGGAAAAAAAAGCAGTCACTCATTTCCATTTATCATTAGCAGCTACTGAATATTTAAGAGACTGTTGTGCTTTTAACAAGTCATCGGTATATTTAGAAATATTTACAAGCTGCTCTTGCTAGGAGTTTAGAAGGTGATGCCAACAGGGCACCGTTTCTTCAAAATGTTTATGTTCATCGAAAGGTTATGCCTCCTGAAACAGGCTTTAAAATGTACTCGGGTCAGAGGTAGTCTAAGGATCATTTCTATGTCTTAGCTGCTAGAAGTACACTTCAGAGATCCTCCACTAGCATAATAAACAATATATTTGCTCTATGTGATATATTCATTTGCTTTTAAAATAAATAAAAAATACCCAGAGATCAGGTTCATTTTGCAGACATTTGGTGAAGCATACCCACCTTTTTATTTTAGACACTCTCGGTTACGTTATGCTCCTTCCTATAATTTGATGCCAGGTTTTCACTTTTTCATCTCGAGATAAACAACAATATTGTGAAATAAAAATGGGTTTGATTCTCAAGTTTCTGAAAATACCTCCTGCCCTCTCTGTGCTATTTTTGCTGGCAAATAAGTAGTTTCTCTATATGCTTTCTTTGATCGTTTGTGCTATTAATTATACCTATATACATTCTACATAGTCAATAATTGATGAAGCTATCGATATTTTCCTAATGGAGGAGTATTTACACTGCCTCTTTATGATAGACCATTTGAACCGGTAACAAATTATCCAATTTGTGCATCATAAACAAGGTTCAAAAGCCCAACTCTATCAGCTAGAGAGAGAAATACTGTTATCTTGGTTGAGAAAACGCTTGTACTAAAAATTCCCATTGCTTTTGGCAGGAATTCATCTGAGCAGATGTATTCTTTCTATTGGGCACCATTTGGTTCAATTATTCTTAATGTTTAATGGCAGAATAATTGGACCAAATGGTAATATATGCTTCAATAAAAGTACTTGCATCAACTGTTTTAATTGCTGGATCCTATAACTACAGCGTTAAGCCTTTTACACTGGACTACTGACATTTGACAGACAGAGGTCTTTAGATGTTGTTTTCCTAAATCTCTTGCTCAGTTTTCACAGGGGCAAGCTAAACAAATGGCCAGTCTCGGCTTTTCTACCAAACGGGGCAAGTGGGACGAGTAAAAAAACCAATGATGGAAATCACACGCATCATGAAAATAACCCCATCTGCAGAACCCCGGTGGGCAGGCTTTGGTTAGCGGGAGTTGAGGCACCCTGAACAATTAGACTCATAGACCTTGAGGGTTGAAGGGACCTCAGGATGACACATCTGGTCCAACCCCTGCTCCAAGCAGGACCAGCCCCAACTACATCATCCCAGCCAACTACTGAAGGTATTAGAAGAAATTGATCTGATGCATCCTATGGTGTTAGCAGGTAGCTCAGTTTTAGGGACAAGGGGAAATAATGATTTCTATTTAGTAAGGGGCCATCCTGAAGTCCCTACCTGGACAAAGCTCCCAAAGCACCCATGACTCCAACATGAAAACATTGCCCAGCTGTGAATGTTTAGGGCTAAGGCAGAGCACAGGATTGGGTAATTTAGTGGTCTACTCATCTGTCTTTGTAGCACTTCCTATAGGTTGCAGGATACAAAAGGAAACGTGACATGTAAATGACAGGTTATAACACGTAATCCAGGGAGAAACTTGCTGTAGCATCAGGATGGCACCTTGGCACAGCCCAATGAACAAGGGCTCTTTTCTGGTGCATGGGAAACGCAAGCTCTATTCCCAGTTCTGCTACTGACCTGCTGGCATGACCTTGGGCAAGTCATTGCACCTCTAGGACTCTTTCCTCTCCATTGCTTTGTCTGTCTGGTTTGCATAGATCGAACGTTCCTCAGGGAGACATCTCTCTTGAGACCACCTGATACAACGAGGCCTTTCTTGCCTCCATTGGGATCTGTAGTTGGTCCTGGAAAATAAAACAAATAAATAAATGAGGAGGAAGAGGGAGAATGGGCAAGGAAGAAGTAGGAGTGTGAGTCAGGAGACAGACAATTACAAAAGCTAGGCCTTGAGGTTGGACTTGGAAGAGACGAGTTAGCTGTGCCCATCACTCAGTACATAAGGGAAGCTGGCAGTAGGTGCAAAGAAACAGTGGGCTTTGAGTGCCCTCTCGCACCCTGGTATTAAACCAATGTATTTTCATCGTCTCAAGTGCAGTCATTCATGACTGAAAGTGGTGTCAGAGGCTTGGAAACCAGGCAGAAGAGAAAGCGAGTAAGTAGGAGGATAGAATAAGATGAGGTAAGAGAAGTAGGGTTGAGTGAGGGTGGGCTGTGAGTGCACAGACGATTTATTTGCTCAGAGGGGAATTCACCTGGACTGTAAACTCTCCAGGAACTGGCATGTGTTTCTGCTACTTGTCTGGACAATGCTAGGCACAAATCAGGCTCTGATCATTGACTTGACTTTCCTAATTGCTACCATAATCTGAATAATAATACCTTTGTAGTGGAGCCAGAAATGGCCAGGAGCTGGCCAAGAGATGAGGAGCCTGTTTTCTTCCTGTTTTCTGAGAAATTCTTAAGAAATCAATAGTGCTGGATTTTTTGTAAAGGGAACAGGAGATATGAGAATACCACAGATGGACAGACTGGCACAACCTATATCCAATTACTCGGGCTTACTGCCCTGTTCAGCCACAAACACTGCCAGCTGCGAGCCAACATCCACGGTTGCTCATCGTAACCTCCTTCTTGGGTATAATCCTTGTTGAGGGGGGTAAATGCTCGAACCGCTGGGAAAGCTGGCAGTGCCCACCTTGTGAGGATAGCAGCATAGGTAACAACGCATATGGCCCATTTGGGAGGGTCACTAAATACTGCCAGGTGTGGCAGATTTTGATAAGACACTTGGTTTCACTGACATCATCTAATACAAAGTAAAGTAGTATGCAAACCAGACTGAAGAAAAAAATGCTAAAGGGAGTTAATTAGGGGACAGAAAAGATTAAACAGAGAAGTAATATAAAAGTGATGCATTTTTAAAGCTTTTCAATTAGTTTATAATCGCAGGCATCCAGCCAAGTTTCAGCGGCACTGACTTTTCATCAAGAGACGACTGAGAAGACTGCCAGCCACTATGGCCGAAAACAGCCCCTCTCGTGGGTGAAGAGGAACCAAAACCTGGGAGATCCTCCTACCGTGGTTCAGTTGTTTGCCACCTCTTTTCCCAGGACTTAGAGTAACAGCTCAGTCCAGCTTTTAGCCTTCAATGGCACGTAGATAGGAGTCTGGAGTCTGCATCGTTACAGTAAAAACAGCAAGTGTGCTTAGTAAAGCATAACTTACCATTATTTTATGTATGCAAGTGTATTTATAGGTCAACACATATACATTTATGACAGGGAGAATAACGCATATCTAATGCACACGGTTTTAATTGAACAGGTAGGTATTAGGGCTGTGTGAAGCTTTGGTCCCTGGTTCGATTTGGTAGAGGTTCGGCTCAATTCGGTGGCCGAATCTCCGAATTGAATCAGAGGACCCTTTAATATCTCCGAATCGAATTGGAACTGTCCGAATCGATTTGGAGAGATTTGGAAAGATTCGGCGATTCAGACACAGATTTAAATGTTTGTTCTACATGCCTCTATGTAGTAGGCAGCTTGTGAACACTGTGATGGGGGGGGCACACGCAGTGTCCCACAGAAGCACTTGGCGCTTGGCAGCAGGCCTGTAAGTGGACCGGAAGCGCTTCCAGTCTGCTTCCAGGTCTGCCAGGGAGAGCGCGGGGGGCCCCCCTACGTCCCTCCAGCTCCGCCACTGTTGCCTCCTGGGTCTGGGGGGGGGCACCTGGGGACCCCCTGTGGCTGATCACTGAGCCCGGGGGGCATGGGAGGGTCCCCAGTGCACTCTCTGGCAGACCCGGAAGTGGACTGGAAGTACTTCCAGTCCACTTCCGGGTTTGCCACTGAGCACATGGGCCCCCGCCCTGTGTGCCTGTGAGACGCTCCATGCACCCCAGCATCGCAGCATTCACGAGCCGTGCCTGGTACCCTCGAGATATGCAGAAAAAACATCTAAAGCTGCATCTATGGCCGAATTGCTGATTCTCTGAATCAGCATCAAATCTTCAGATTTGGATTTGCCCAAATCGAATCAGGGACAGTGATCCGAATCAACGAATCAAAGCACTGTCCCCAATTCGGGCTGGATCTGAATCGAATAGGGCCCGCTTCGCATAGCCCTAGTCGGTGTTTGGTTTTGTCTGTCTGGTTTACAGATAAAGAGCAGAACCAGTTGGAAGCTGAGAGTGAGCACTGGCAGGAAGAAAATTCCAACAAAAACTTTTTCACTGAAATATTCATTGGAAAATGGTGATTGCTTATTAAATACAGAGCCTCAGAAAACTTTGTGGTTGAAAAAAATGCCTTGATTTTCTCAATTTGAACATCAGACTACTTAACATTTTTGAACAAAAAATATGAGGTTTAAGTTTTTCAATTTCAATGTTTTCTTGAAAAACACGTATTTTCTGGGAAAGTTTTCATTTAACCCAAAACCTAGATTCTCACCAGAAACAATATAACATTTTCAGCCAGCCCTCAATAGCAAACGCTGACACACAGCACCCAAAAGCACTGAAGAAGAATCCTGGCAATAGGAAAGGATGGGAAATAATTCATTTCACAAAGTAAATTTCACAGGTGCGGTCAGACTAGCAATGAGTCTGTACAAAGGCTTCTCCTTGGAAATGTAGCCCTTAGGGCATTATGAACAGAAATGTTGCTTGTCAGACTTAATAACTGTTTGAGTTAGATTTGGGTAATTCAGTACCAGACAAGGGGATGTCTAGGCAAACCCATTGATAGGGTATATTATACAGGAATGGGCTTTTCACAATACTAATGAGATACGCCTTGCACCAGGCTAGAATTTCCCCTGGTTTTAGATATTTCTTCAGTTCTAGAAATAGTCAGATCAGCAGATTCCCAGAGCACTGTGCAGGAAAGAAGAAAGTATGTTCAACACCACCTATTCAGCTGAGATTTTGAAGACTAGCTTTTTCAACAACGGTCTTAGCTTTCATGCCAACAACTCTTTCTGAAGCAAAAATAAAGACCTGTTGAGGCCAAGCTAAATATCTACTCTGAGAATATGCATAGTTAAGCCTAGCCTTGAAGCTCTTTCATGTCACCAAAAATGCCTCCTATTTATTCACATCGTTTCACTTGTGCTGGTTTGAAAATTCCCCAAGCTAACCTGTGCTAGTGGTTTTGTCAGGGCTAGTGAATGGTGGCTGAAGTTGCTGTCTTTAGAAAACGGTCTTGATGTCATTAGGGCACCGAGTCATCAGCAGGTGTAGAAAGGAGCAAGTCTGATCCACTTCAATTGAGTTAAGAGGTTGACATGAATTTGAGACTGAGCCCTTTACAGCTATGATCATAAATGCCAGACTGGTGACGCATTAAAAAGATAGCTTTCAAGAAGTGTTCATTGTCCATCCAGTGAAAACTGCATTATAGTAGGTATTTAAAGTCAGCTGGGAAAGGTTAGGCCTATTGCTGGCCAGCAGAATATTAATAATTCTAGTTAATATGCAGCATGAAATAATGGGTTGGAAGGAGTAGCTGAGAATGAAACCCATTAAGTTTAAAGAAGAAACAACAAGCTTATTGCCAATTTTATAGAAAGACAGAAGCTCTGCGAAGCCTAAGAAACCTTGTGAGGAAGCAGAGCAAAGAGACTGGGATTGCTTCCTGTCAATGCAGCAATCCTGAGCCTCTGCCATGATCGGGAATGGGAGTTTTCATGGAGTTGGAGGGCTGGAAGGGACCTTATGGTTTCACTGCAAACTACTGGAAGTAGCTACTGCTGATGAGCTGCTGAGATTCAGTTTAATTGTCAGCCACCTGCTCTTTGTATCAAGCTCAAGACTAGGGGGGAAAAAGCTTCAATGGTGCCATACAGCTGGTACTGAAGGCTGCGAAGGCAACACATACTCGTTCTGAACTACCCGCTCTGCAGGCCCGTTTTACAAGAGGCTCACACACAGCATGAGGGCAGTTCTGTTGCACAAGCAACAGATAGCTGAACAAAGGGGACTGCACATGAAAGTACCACCATGCAGCTGCAAACAAGGACTTCCCTTCTCCTGCTGTCTTGCTTTCAGATCTACACGGGATCTGGGAAAGACGGGGCTAGCGGCTCGCATGGCGTTCTAACAAACCACTTGAAGACCTCGCATTTACCCATGACAAATTAAAACGGATCGTACGTGGGAGTCGCAGTCCTGGCAAAGAAAGCAAACCATTTTCAAAGGGCAAGCTTGGAAGAGTAAGTAGATCTGGGAACTCCCTGGGTAAAAAAACGGTCACCATTGTCATGCCAGAACAGACTGACTTCAGTAGACACAGCACCTGAACTAGCACTAGCTTTGCAAACAGTGATTTCCACGAAGGGTGTAATCCAGAGGACAGCAGAACAATCAATAGACGGATAATGTGAAGGAAATGAATAAGACTGAAGTCCTCAGGATAAACCATCCACGTGCAGAACTGAACGGCCTGGGTTTTAGCATGCCGTTCTCTGTGTTTTCTGTTTGATGAAGGAGCATTACGAATTCTGGACAGAGGCCTGAAAGTGCCAGTCTTGTACGCATCGAGGTAATAAAGAAAAGCTTCAGTCTGTTGCAGGTGGCATTCGTTATGTCTGGGACGATTCCCTTCCTGCCGTAAATATTCTCTGAAGCAGATTTAAGAACGGATTGCCAGATGTCCGGTGGACAAGCTTTGGAGGTGTGCAATGTCAAACATCGCGACTGGGCTATAGATGATAGCGATGGAAAATTAAACGTAAACCAATTTATTGCATCATTTACACTGTGCTTTGCAGATGTGTATTCAGATTACAAATTAAGAGGGCACCAGGAAGAGTGTTCGTAAGTA